GACTTTGGTGCGCCATATACATAAAATCGGACGAACATATATATGGGAGCTATATCTAAATCTGAACCGATTTTTCCCAAGTTCAATAGGGTTCGTCCTTGGGGCGGTTGAGTAAGCTGTGCCACATTTCATCCAAATCGGATCATAAATGCGATCTGCACTTTGTTTACAATTTAACATGGACAGACAGACGGACGGTCGGACATGCATAAATCAACTTAGAAAGTGATTCTATGCATATTCTCAAAAGGAACCATGCGTTTATCTCGTTTCCTTTTGCCTGTTACAAACATATGCACAACGACAGGGACGTACGCAGGGGGTGGCTCGGGAACCCCCCGCCCCTCCCCCGAAATGAATTTCTTTCACAGTATATTTATGTTTGCAACAGCAAATTTTTTCATTTTGTACTGCCGGGCCCCCCCGAAATGAAATCCTGTGTACGTTGCTGCACAACGACATAATACTCTGTACCACAGTGTGGTGAAGGGTATAAACATTTGTTTTTTTATACACTTCACCACACTGTGGTATAGGGTATTATGTCTTTGTGCATATGTTTGTAACAGGCAAAAATAATCGAGATAGACCCATGGTTCCTTTTGAGAATATGCATAGAATCACTTTCTGAGTCGATTTATGCATGTCCGTCCGTCCGCCCGTCCATATATTTTTGTTAACAAAGTACAGGTCGCATTTATGATCCGATTTGGATGAAATTTGGCACAGGTCACTTAATTAGCCCAAGGACTAACCCTATTGAAATTGGGAATAATCGGTTCAGATTTAGATATAGCTCCCATATATATTTTCGTCCGATTTATGGTAAATAGTGTACCAAAAACCGTATATATATTTCGATTTGCACGAAATTTGGCACAGCGTAATGAATTAGGTCTAGAATGATGTGTGTTAAGTTTCCTGAAAATAGGTCCAGATTTAGATATAGCTCCCATATATATTTTCGTCCGATTTTATGTAAATGGTGTACCAAAGTCCGTATATATCTTTCGATTTGCACGAAATTTGGAATAGTGTAATGAATTAGGTCTAGAATGATGTGTGTACAATTTCAAGAAAATCGGTCCAGATTTAGATATAGTTCCCATATATATTTTTGTCCGATACATAAATGGTTCACCAAAGACCCCAAGGTAGGCCGATTGACAAAAAATTTGGCACAGCGAACTGAAGTAGATATAACCTAGCTTGAAGCAACCCTGTATCTGACCACATGAAAAATGTAGTATAGGTTGCAGAATGACATGTTTATGGATCCATTATCATGTTAATGGTCCTTCAAAAATTCGACGTCTGTTAGGATTCATCTGTTGAATATACCCACAATGGTGAAGGGTATCATATAGTCGGCCCCGTCCGACTTTACTGCTTTCCTTACTGTTTTTTTACTAATTCGCTCCAATACACCACCTTATTATTGCATCATGGTACCGCTGTTCTAAAATGACATCTAGTGAGAATAATTAGTACAAACCTGGGTATAAAAAACGGAATGACAAAATTAAATACTATGGTGGAGGGTATAAAAGCACAATATGTTTATTTTTTAAAAAGTTATACGGCATTTGTTAGCATTGCAATTTTAGTTGCTTTAGTTTTGGCCACCAGTGTATATCAAAAAAAAAATCCTTAAGGAGGATACTGGTCTGTTATAGTACGTTTACATTGTACCAGATTTCGTTAACCTAGTGGGGTTCAATTTTCAATTCCATTGTATACATTTCAAATAAGTCCTCTAGAGTAGGTTAACCCAGTAAAAAGTTTTAATGTAAATACCGTTTTAAGTTGGATTTGAATGAAATATGAATTTATAATGGAATATCAGAGTCAAACATGTTATTGGACGCCATTCTTCTTTATTTTTTTTTTTTACAAAAAAATAAGCCAATTTAAAATTCCAAGCCGGATGTACATATATGTTTCATCCTTTTTAAAAGGAGCTTATCCCTGCAACGTAGTAAATTAGTTGTTGAAAGTAATACAAGTGGCAACGTCATTCAATCAAAAAATTTAAACAAAACACACAAATTAATAAAATGTTATTTATTTGAAAAATATAATATTTTGGAATCCTCAAATTAAAAGTGAAGAAGATGGATGAAAATCTGTCACATTTATATTGTTAAAGCTTCCCGATCTTGAGCCATTGCTCAATAATGCTGGAAGATTTGCTATGGAGATAGATTTACTGCCTCAAACATTCCCAGCAGGCAGATTCAGTAAATTGAATACGGGTGGTCATTTAAGGGGACCGCCTCGATTTTTTATTTTTAAGACTTTAAATGGGCTGGTGAATGAATACCAATACATGTTATATATTTAAAGATTTAAAAAGGAAGAAAAATAATTTACAAAAAATTTTGTTGTCGTTTTTTGTGATTAAAGAAAAGACCTTATTTTTGATAACGGGCATGATAACTCCTCACTGGAACATCGGAATCCGAAAATTCCAACGGTGTTAGAAAGATTACATGTCTGTCTCTCATATGAACTAGGATTATTGACTTCGCACAACAATTAACAAAATGGCGGAACTTTAAAAAAAAAATTTGGAAAATCGACTATTTTTGACCACAAACTAATAAGGAAGATCTTCACCGATTGCCTTTATCCTAGTTCATACGATATCTATAAACTCACAGAGAAACGTTCCAAAATTTGAAATCGATTCGGTTATTAGTATTTTAGGGACTTTCTTGAATTAGTGTAAATTCGAAAAATTTATGCGTACCCAATTTTCCGGTTGGGTCATTTTTAAAAACACGATTTGTCATATTTACATTGACACGAGTATAACGTTGGAATGAAAACAGTTGGGTTTCGCAGTTACCTTTTATAATTGTACAATGTCCTGTAAAAATTTTGTTGTTTGGTTCTTTCATACATGTGTAATTTATTTCATACCAATGTTGTATTAACCCTGTAGAACACTGTCTAAAAGTGCGCTTGCCGGCTACAGGGTTAAGTGCTATTACAATTTAATTTGAATTTATTTAAAAATATTGGACATAGTATATTCAAAATATTGTACATATATATATATATATATATATATGGGCAATATTGCCAATTTTTTAACATAGCTGAAGCGGAGGTTCACCCCTTTATAACTCGGGAGTTACTTAAGTATATGAATAAAAGGGAATAGTTTTGGGTTAATTGATCTGTGGTTGCAAACTGCTCATGATATTGACCTCCAAACTTTATTTTGGTGGAAGCTGTGTCTACTTTAATGAAAAAAAATTTGTAAAAATAGGTTGAGGCGAACCAGTTTTTTATGTTCTCTATCGATTTGTGACTAAGCCACTCATTGCACGGTCTTCGTGTCAAAATAAAACTAGAAGCCAACAAAATGGGGACTACGCCCCTTATGTATCATTTTTCAAAATTTAAACTGCATCTCTTTAAATGATGCTGACATTTTGAAGCTCGATTTTGAGTGTTTTTTGAATTTTACTTCTAGCTTTAATACGCAAACAGGAATATCCAAAAATCGATTATAAGATTATTGTAGTCGCGAATCTGCGTAATTTGGTATGTATTTTGAGTATGTAGTATGCACAGCTTCAGAGTAACACTCATCCGAAGGTGCGAATTTTGTGCGATCAAATTTCTAAAAAACCTATTTTTCGGGCCAAATTTTTAGATCTGTCAACTGAATGATATGGGTACCCGCGATCAATAAGGTTTTTTACGTTTCGGATGATATAAAATCTTCTTCGTGAAAATCCATCTACTAGAACGGCGGGAACTGGCCTTCCAAAAACACGAAATTTGGCAAAAAATGTTTTTGAAAATATCGCGGATTTTTTTTCGTTTTCTGTGTATCATTTCCGCTTCAATAAAATACCTCATACGGATTTTGATCTTTTTCGAAAAGAGATCTTTAAAAACTTCAGCCGAAAGAGAGATGTACGCAATTTATCTCAAAAATAGATTGTGCTGGCACATCCATGGTTCTTAATGGACCACATTGAAATGGTATAGATCGATGTATTTTTTTAGGGTGCACGCCGAAATCGGTTGCGCGTTAATGGCATATGGAGTTTTCGGAAATTATTCGCGTTTTACGATTTTTTGGGTACCTCAATGTAACGTGCGGCACATCTTAGCCGTCAAATGAAATTTCGCAAAATATATATGGATTGGAAGATAAACTTCAGTACTTCCTGGAAACCGCATGTGCATCAAATGATTTTGAGAATTACGCGATTTACACGCAATTTAAAATGTATATTTCATAATATTATTTTATTTTAAGATTTATTCCTATTTATAAAACCCTAAGATTTATCGGAAGGGTCTTGCTATAATCCGCTAGGTGTATACTTGTACAAAAAAATGGGATTATTTTTATATAGTCCAATTTTTCGGCGAAATTCGGGTAAAATAGCAGAATAACCCCAACATTTTTTTCTGAAATTTCTTGTATACAATTAAAAAAATAAATATGATGACATTATTTTTTCGAACCAAAAACAAATATTTTTCCTCAATATCTTGCTTTATTGTCGCTGTGATTTACAAACCGCTACACGGACTTGTGTGATTTTGATATCATTTGATTCATCATGGTGTTTAGATTATGTTGATATTTTTAAATTAATTTTTAGGTGTGTGAATGTCATTAAAATAATGAAAATATTGACGTAATCCAATACATTTTTATTATTTTTCTCATATTTCGCGAAGATGTGCAACTTTATCGCGATTATTATAATGTATTCATATTTTTATTTTACGGAGGAAGATATATATCAACGTTTTTGGTCAATATAAAAAACGGCGTAATTTTAAGATTTTTTTCTTATGCCCAAAATTAAAACCTCGATAACTTTGCGCGCATCAACCAAAAATTTGATCGCGAACGGTTTCGGAGTCAGAACATTTTTCTCTATATGTGTACCAAAAATCATTGATGTGCCACAAAAACAAAAAAGCTGATTTTTTGAAAATGGAATATTAAATATATATAATGTTTAATCGTAAATAGTTTTGCGGTTACGTCGCTGTTTGTTGCCATCTGCACTTTTTATTTTTTTCCGTATATGCTTTGGTATAACTCGGAAGACGTCCGAATCAATTTGTACTGGCATAGAATTTTGCCTCATTGCCATCCATTTCCTTCTATTTACTGCATGTATTTTGGAATCAGTAGGCTCAACTGAAAATAAATAAGGAAAATGTATATTGGAATATAAAGTACACAATGTATATGATGATATTACATTATTTATTCAACGAAGAGAAAATCGAGAAATTTGTTCTTATAAGCGGGGTTTTCTTATGGGAATGTATTTTCTATAATAAACTGATTTTTATATGGGTGAAACATTTTCTTATGTCCCCAAATTACGAAATGGAGGGGGGTGGACCTATATATATATATAATTTTTAGTGAAGAAATTTGGTACACAATACGCTGATCAAGAATATATATACTTTATAGGGTCGGAACTGATTTCGGTGAATTACAAACGGAAAAATAAATATAATATGCCCTCCATATTATGGTGGAGGGTATAAAAATGGTAAATCTAGATTCATTCCGAAAATGGGTTCTATGGATCACGCAGTTATCTCCTTTCACAAGTAATTTATATATGCATTCCCCTCGCCCTACTTGGATGTTCCCTAGACCTGTTAAGATCAAAAACTTTCCAAAAAATTATTTTTTCAATATCATAATTGTTCACCATTATTCAAAAATGTTTTAAATTTCTTGGGTTTGCAAGCTCATAATTCGCGAAATATGAACATATTACATATAATTTAAATGCATTTCTATAAAATGAAGTGTTGTGGTCAAAATATTGGAAATAAATAAAAAGTTGCGTAGAAGCTGTGATGGTGGTAAGGTAAACATGTGAAATAGCGTTATGTTCGGCCGACCCGAACTTTGGATACCCTCCACCATAGATATACTGCAGGTACTTGAAATGAAAATACAGACAAAATATCAAACACAGACATTTCCACAAACGGATTATTTATACCATAATACTAATTTCAGAAATTTTAAATGGATTTTAATTATACCCTCAGCCTTATAGCTGATGGGGGTGTATACACTTTGACACGGTGAACATGTGCCTCCTGGAAATATTGGTTCTAGACCACATGTTTCTTTGGACCAAATTTGTTTAAAAAAATTTAATTTCATCCAAACTTTGCCCATTATTTCTTCCAAACATAGTTCAAGTTCGAAGATGGGGAATATTGATCCACTCCTTCTGGTAACTCCCACGCAGGGGCTAGGCCTAAATACTGGTTATAGTTCTACGTTCTAGCTCATCTCGATATCCTCCGCAGGTGAAATGATTACGACTGAGTCTTGGAACAAACTCCAAAACGAGGAACAAATTAGATATGTAACTATTTTTTAATATAAACATGGGGGTTATATGGGGACTATCCCAAAAACGGGGCGAATATTAATAATTTTTGGTGGGGAGATTTGTTACCATATACGACTCCACTCCTTCTGGAATCTCCACACAGGGGCTAGGTCTAAATGCGGCTATAGTTCATTATCGAACTTTGCGTTCTAATTTTTTATATCGCTATCCTCCGCAGGTGAAATGATTACAACAGAGTCTTACAACCAAACTCAAAACGCGGAACAAATTAGATAACTATTTCAGTATATAAAAGGGGGTTAAATAGGGACCACCCCAAAAAGCGGGCGAATATTAATAATTTTTGGTAGGGAGATTTGTCACCATATACGACTACAAAATACCAAATTGCAGCAAATTCGGTTGAAAAACGCGCTCAAGAACCCCAAAATACCGAAAATTGGAGGTACCCTTATATGGGGGCTATCCGAAAAAATGGACCTCTATTTATAATTTTAAGAACTCTATTAAGAACTCAAAATACTAAATTACAGCTAATTCGATGGAAAAATACGATCCAAACCTCCAAAATACTGAAAATTAGGAGGTACCGTTATATGGGGGCTACCAGAAAAAGTGGACCTATATTGATTTTTTGTGGAGACATTTAGTACCCAATAAGAACCCAATGTAGCAAATATCAGCAAATTCGGTAGAAAAACGCGCTCAAGGACCCCAAAATACCGAAAATTGGGGGGTACCCTTATATGGGAGCTATGCCTAAACGTGGACCGATAAAGCCCATCTTCGAACTTGACAAGCCCATCTTCTGCAGACAAAGGACGACTCTATGCAAAATTTTGGATATCTATCTCAATTCGTTTAGAGGCTAGAGTGATTACAACAGACAGACGGGCATGGCTATATCGTCATACGCTGATCAAGAATATATATACTTTATAGGGTCGGAAATAATTATTTCGATGAGTTACAAACGGAAAAACAAAATTAATATACCCTCCATACTATGGTGGAGGGTATAAAAAAATGGTTCAAAATGTGTTGAAGCCAACAAGTTTTTTGGTATTCTTTCCCGATTTGTGACACTTGGGAACAGTGTGGCACTTGTGAACATCGACAATATGGTTTTAATGTATGATTTTTCTTTATAATTGAAGACGGATTTTCCAATTTTTCTTATAATCAGTACACGCTACCAAATAATGGGCTACATTAAATATAGGATTACAGAACTCGTGATTTTGCTTCGTTTAGTGTATATCTAATGAACGTGCTCACCGTAACACATGATTAGATTTCTTATACTTCTAGGAATTCTGTGTTCTTAATGAAGTCCTTCGAAATTTTCTATTCACACCCCCTTATATCGGTCAGTTCGTGAATAATATCATTACCCAAGAATTGTGTATGAATGTTTGCAAAGGCTGGACAGTGACATTGGCAATTTTCCAGTGTTTCACTGTCTTCCCCACACGCTCTACACCTGCTGCTTCCGTCCCACACAATTTTGTGTAAATGTGCCAGCAGGCTTATTGCTTATTATTCCTGTGTGACTCGGTACCCCTATTATTCATACAAGACAGCGTTGTGATAAATTATTTATGGATTTAACATATTCCAGAATATTTTTAGATTGGCTTGTTTACTATTTGCCATTTTTATATCCTGACCAGAGCTTAAACTTAACATGTTTAGACACTTCGTTATAGCTTCAACTTAACATGTTTAGACACTTCGTTATAGCTTCAACATCCGCCTGTAGGATCATATTAAGATCTGGCAAGCGAAGTGAAATTTCGGTTCACAGTTCTTTAATATTTCCAGTCCCGATTTTCCTGCTACCCGGGAGCCATCTATTTAACCACAGTTGCCAGAGGGCATTTAAGCTGGTTTTCCGCTGTCCCATGAGTCTCGGTCCAGTATCATAATTTCACATGATGTGTCTACTCTTATTTCAGGTATTCGGCATGACTCAAAACTACTTATTGAAAATTCCAACCTGTACTAAATTTTAAAATTGTTCGCTCTGTTGTGTCCGGAGTCGATTCCCTCGTTGCAAGGGCCGCTTCATATTTTATTTACTCTGAATTGCTTCACATCATCTATCATCTTTTTGAAATCCGATATACGTAGACTATATATATACACAAAAGCAACAATCTATCTTTTTAGCATCTGTCTGTAACATTCAAATATACAAAGACGTAATATGTTATAACATTTCGAGAAAACTGAATCTTCTGGAGCAGGCCAAACAACATTTTGTGAATTGTATGTCAACCTACCATTCACCAAATTTATTTACTAATGTATTTCTAAAAATTACTTAATTTCTGTACATCATCAAAATTTTCTCAGTGGAGTTCTGCGTGCTGTCCTTGTATTTTAAAAACAAAGTACAGCTCTCATTTATTATCAAGTTAGATTAAATTTGACAATTGAAATTGTGGAGATCTAGATTTACCGAAAATTTGCACTCACAAACAAATTGAGACTAGATTATGAATTGTTACAATCGTTTGAGCAATAGCTCGTCTTAAAAAAATAGCTAGATGTATTTCATGTTTGGAGATGTGCTTATGCTTTGTACGATCAACATGAAATGTTTCTATTTCATTTTTGGCATTGATATTTTACCTTTAATACTATCCTGAACTTCGGTTGGTTCCATATTTTTATTCTGATTGGACGAAGTTTCTTCATTGCTACTCCCTTCATCTGGCGTAGAGTTGTTGCGCAAAGCAACCCCTCTCTGCAACATTGATCGTTTTTGGGCCAAGGAACTGTCACCATTTTTCACAATATTATCGGAATTGTCATGTAATCGTTGTTTTCCATAAATTTGATTTTTCCGTTGCAAATTTTTAAAAAATGCCTGGATTCTTCGTGCAGCTGCTTCTCTTAATAGGAATTCCAGTGATTCGCTTATTGCGGCATTGCCAAATGAAGCCTTTCTACTTTCGTCGCCTTGGGCAGACTTAAGATCGCTGGTACGACCCAAACGTTTTCGAGTGAGGTAACCCCTAGCACCGGCTTGAAGTTTCGTTACGGCAGAAACAATCGTTGACTCGGTTTCAGTAGATGTATCTATATTATCAACTAAAGCGGTGGAACCATTGACATAGTCGAGAATATGACATTTATTTTCTGTGTAATTTTTATCAAAGACGTCTGAATCAGTTTCCGAGAGCGAATATGCCATAATTTTGCTACGAATATTTTTCGTTGTATCATCATCCAGATAAAAGCTGTCAGTAGTTGTTTTATACATGGCGTTTTTTGTAATTGCTGGTCGATCAACAATTTGCTCTTCAGTATCTTTCAGGTCTCTCTCTTTATCTTCAAATATTATTACATCACTTTGCGATGAACTTTCACGAGACTCTTCATTTTGCAATTTATTGATAACTATTGAATTCTCATCTGTATCTAAGTTGCTTTCAATTTTAGGCACTGTTGCAGACTCCTCAAAAGAATATCTAACGTACTCATATTTATTAGTTGACGTAGAATCTCGGCGTTGCTTCATTTTCTCAATCGAAACGTCGGCTTCGTTCAGTTTCATGATCTTACAGTCCAAGCTGTCGTCAGCCTCATTTCCGCTGTCTGTCTCTGAAGAATCATCATCTTCTAAATCGTTCGATGGGTTTGGAGGTGCCGTTAAAGACACTGACTTAACAGTCATCATCTTTTCATAAGGTTGCAACACATTGCTAAAATTTATCTCGGTTTTTATGAACTCTTTACTGATATCAATTGTATTTGATATATTGTAGTTTTTTGAAGCCATCTGCCTTTCATAGTGCTTTTCCGAATGACTCCGTTCAGATGTTATAAATTGCTGAGTAAGAATTGTCATTATCGCGATGTCCCTATCAGATGTATTTAACAACAATTCCGGGTCAAGTAAATTTGCTGCTTCTAAAAAAGAAAATAACATAATATTAGTAAAAAATTGAGAAATACAGTGTTATATGCGCAAATACGCCGAAGACAGAGAAAGCCCAACGGAAACTACAAATGCTTCAATGGAAACCAAATAATTTGCCGTCGTATTTCCCAAGGTGAACATATTTGAAATCTAAAAAAATATGGAGTGTTTCGAGGTCGATTGTGATTCGGCAACAATGTATTTTCTGCGTACCCGACACCAATCATTACAGAACGTTTGGTAAAAATCTCAATAACGCCATTTAAAACAAAAATGATAATGCATACCATATATTGATATAAATTATTTTCTTCGTGATCATTTCTATATATTCTAAACATGCTACGTTGATAACTTCAGTAGGTGCTGCGAAGCGCCATGGGTCAGCCAGTATTTATATATAAATATAAAAGTCGTTACTTACACCGTTTATAATTAAAAAACGGCTGTATCGATTTTGGTCATTCGTGTCAATTTAGAAGCTATCAAGTCGGGAAAATCCGCGAAAATTTTTCAAATAAATATTTTGAAGCACATTTGCATTTCCACGAATTTTCTCTGCAGCCGTTTAGATTGTATTACGTAGTGGTTGTTTTGCTTTAAATATTTGTGCAAAATTAGGAAGCTTAGCATTCCTTTAGGCTTGCATTTGTCAATTATTGAAAATTTTCAAAATATTTAATTTTTTTCAATTGGATTGAGATTGTATTGAAACTATTTTATGCGACAATAAAAAAATAATTGAGAAGTATATCATTGTACACACGATCAAGGGATTCTTATTCTAAGATGCATATTCTAGATTATTTGAAAATAATTTGTCCTATATGTAGTAATTTATTAGATGTTTCTTTAATAAAATTCAAATAAAACCAATAAGACACTGAGTTTCGTTTTTCTTAACCACTGGGTATCAAAAATACCCAATTTCATACCATTCCACAGGGGCCTGCTGTGAAAACCTTTAAAGTACATAAAATCTTGCAGTACCACGGGACCTATCAAATCAGGTGTTACCATTATATTTTCCATGTATTTACGAGATTTTTGAAGTTATGGATCGGATTGTTTATACAAATGTTTTGGAAATCGCAATGGTTCCCTTCGCTGAAGAAAATATATCGATTGTTTGGGTATTGGTTGCGAGAGTCCAAAAATAAGGGTTTTATAATGGCCAACCCAATCATCAGAAATTCAACCAATAATTAACAAATTTTGGAGTATCATAGACAGTAAAATCAAAAGAGTTTTACAAACAAACAGACATAACCAAAGGTTCAGAGTGCGAGGAAAATTATACCCAAGGATCAAATTGATCAATAAAATCTCTATCTCTATATATATAAAAATTACATGTATGTTCGTGATCGCTAATCTCAAAAACTACTGCACCACCTATGGGGCGTGAGGAGTGTTTCTGTGTAGTTTGAAGTTCATCCGACAGATGGCGCAATATTTAGTTTTTTGTGGTTATCACCATAATTCAAGAACTACTGCACCGATTTTGACCAAACTTTACGTATATGCTCTATGGGGCGTGAGTAGTGGTTTTGTGTTTAATTTTAAGTTCATCCAACAGATGGCGCGATATATATAGCTTCTTTGTGTTTTGTCAATTTAAAGATTGGGTGCTTAATCGGCGTGTGTCGACGTTAAGTATTCCGACACCGATACATAACCTGTTTTCGTGAAAAGCGCGTGGGAGTCAAACGAAAAGTAACAACTTATCAAATTGAAGTAAAATGAATTTAAATCTATTTATAAAAATGTATAGCAACTCATCAATTGAGAACGGCGGCACCGATTTGACTCGAAATTTCTTTCAGTTGTCTGTAATTGAAGTGGGAATGCTTTTATGAATGAACATTTTGAGAAAAATCCTTGAAAATCTTCCAAAATATATTTTGAAGGAACGGCTGGGCCGATTTGTCTAATATTATGTGGGACATATACCATAAAGTGATACCATACCGACTGTTTACAGAGAAGTTCTTTATCCTACATGAAATACCTAATTAAAGGCAATGTATACGGTATGTGTCACTACTTTCAAAGTACATAAAATCGTACTATGGCAAAATATGGACCAAATATAAGGAGGCTTAAAAACGCACAACAATAATGAGAAAATTTTTTACATTATAAAACCAACACATGGCATATATCCCACACAATATCTGAATCATTGGCTGAAACTTGAACGTATTCTAATAGGCCAGCTTTATTTGTGAAAATGTCAATACATATACATAGGATATACCAACATGCCCATTACAAATACCTCAACAATTTAGCTAGCTATGGAAGGTATTATTGAAAATTTTATTATATTCGAGATGGCCTAAGTTAGATTAGGTTAGGTAGTTCTTAAGGAATAATATTAAATAATAAAATTAGAATTGAAATGACATTCGACCTTACAAGTCCTTTGTATTTTCCTTTCTCCCGCTTCGTAACACGAGAAGTATATATAAATTTGAATCCCACGTGGAGACAATTGGGCATTAGATGCTCTAGGTGTCTAACTTATATGTGCCTTTATGGTTCCTCAAATATATTTTTCATGATGTGAAAAATGTTTCCATTGAGAACAACTGAACAAATTTGACTCACATTTTCCTTCGATCGTTTTTAATTACAGTGGGAAGAGTTTTACCAAAGAAAAAATTGAGAAAAGCATAAAAAATTGGAGAACTTATGAAACGTATGTGATCAAAACAGGAATAGTAATTATCTATTGAGATACGAGTAGTTAGATCAAAACTTGATCTTCTCCTGAAAAATGTTTGGTGTTTGGAAAATGTTTGGAATAAGTTCGATCAATTGATAAACTGAAATACCACACATACTGACATAATATAATATTTAATAATAACAATATTACTTAATGTACAGGAGTATCAGTAAATGAAGGTCTACCGTCATGAGGAAAATATTGTGCATATTTTTTTGATTATGGAAATTTGACGTACATTTTTGGTAAATAGTTTCTGAAATATATTTTCGATGAATTCGGGTCTGCTAGTAAATTTATAAAAACAAATCAAACAAATTGGGTCAATTTAGTTTTCCATAGAATATTTTTTATTTCAAAATAAATTTTGCGTTTATATTTTTTGATTTTTTAAAAATAAATAAATAGCCTATTTATTTCTGAAAAAACTTTCACTATAACTTTATTTTCAAAAAAGTTACAGCTCATTTATTCAGTTTGCAATTTCAGTTCAGTCAGTCTATTGTAAAATGTGAACCACAGAACAAGTAATATACAAGGATAATGAAAGGAAACTTACTTCTGGCTTTCCTCTGTATTGCAAAATTCGATCTTAAGCTCAATCGAAAGAGAACAACTAACTATAAACCGGCAATATAAAATATGTGAAGGAAATACCAAAACCTCCATCAAAAACTTTTATTTGAATAAGTGACTATTAAGTTACAAATAAATCGGTCTGGGCGAGAATATAAGGACTATGTTGATGATCTGAAAAAATAATATTCCAAATAACAAATACTCATGTTGAAAAACTGGGGTAAGAACTTCAATATATATTTGGGGTCAATTATAAAACGTGGACCTATAGAGCATAATTTTGGGAAGAAATTTTTCGCCAGGAAGTTTCGTGAAAATCGGTTCAGATTTAGATATAATTCCCATGTATAGTTTTGTCCGATTTTATGTAAATGGTGCAACAAATTCCCTATATATCTTTTGATTTGTACGAAATTTGGCATAGGGTATTGAATTAGGTCCAAATATTGTAGTCTGTATGAAAAAAGAGTCCGTCACTTCAAGGAAAATCGGACGGAATATGGGAGCTATATCTATATATGAACCGATTTTCTCGAAACCTAGCACATATCATTCTGGACCTAATTCAGAACATTATGCCAAATTTAGTGCAAATCGAAAGATATTTACTGACCTTGGTTCCCATTTACCTTAAATTGGACGAAATTATATATAGGAGCTATATCTAAATCTGAACCGATTTTCTCGAAACTTGACACACATGATTCTAGACACAATTCAGTATACTATGCAAATTTTCATGCAAATCGAAAGATATATAGGGGCTTTGATGCACCACTTACATAAAATCGGACAAAACTATATATGGGAGCTATATCTAAATCTGAACGGATTTTCACGAAACTTACCACACATAATTCTGAACCAAATTCAGAACTCTATGCCAAATTTCATGCAAATGAAAGATTTATAGGGATATATTGGGACGGATCATAAATGTGACCTGTACTTTGTTTACAATATAACATCTACAGACGGACGGACATGCTTAAATAGACTCAGAAAGTGATTCTATGCATATTCTCAAAAAGGAACTTGTTACAAATATGTATATGCTCAAAGACATAATACCCTGTACCACAGTGTGGTGACGGATATAAAAACGGGACTCCGCAACATAAACACGAAGGAAGACAAAGACAATACTAAGCTTCAGTATTCAATTGCAATAACTTAAACACAGTTCTGTGATATATTTAATTTTTAACTGCGATTTTATTTTTTATAATTTTATTTAATGTTGTGGTGTCCCGTTTTTTTTTTAATTTAAGCCCAACAAAAAGCACCAATAATTAATAAAATTAAAAAAATTGGTCAGTGACTTACATAAGAATACTGAATAATGGCGGATACAATTATTTTGGACAAATATATTTGTATGTTTTGGTAGGTAGATTTTCTACTCAATTTGGTTTAAACGTGACCAATCTCCCCGAAATACCGAATATGGGGCTATTCTTAAAATTGGACCATTTTCAATGCCAAACATCCTAGAAGCAGCAATAATGTATGTGAAAAATTTCAATGTTCTACCTTAAATATTGATGATGTGACAGATCTTTAATTGCACAGCTTATAACATAATGGATTTTTTTCTATACATCAACACTCGGTCATATATATCAAATTGTAAATATTCAGTGCCTTTGTGAAATCTGATCAATACTAAGGTATGAC